TATTCAGCATTGATATGGTTTGGATTCTTGTGCTGAAATTTGGCTGTGAGGGATTAAGAGGGTCCTTTGAGAGGATTAGATGAAGTCATCAGCTGGGGCCCTCATGATTCATTCTGTAGTTTCATAGGAAAGAGAGAGACACAGAGAATAAACACACAATGCCATGTGATGCCCTGGGGCACCTTGGGACTCTACAGGGAGTCCCCATCAGAAGACCCTCATCACATGCAGACTCTTGACCTTGGACCTTCAAAACCATGAGCTATGTAAACCTCTACTCTCTATAAATTACTCAGTGTGGTATCAATTATTAGTTATAGAAGAGAGGGCTAAAACAATGATATGGAATGTAACTTTTGGCTGTGAATTAACTGTGGAAGGAGAGCTAAAAGAATATTTGAGGGAACCAGCAGTTAGCGTAATGGCTATGTCGCTGGACTCCCACGTAGTCGACCGCGGTTCGCGTCCCAGACCTGGTGACTTAAAACTCACACCGGGTGCATGTGCGTGCGTGCCCAAGATCCCGAGAGGAGAATGGAGGAGAAGGGATTGCGGCGTGACCATCCCCCCTGGGGAATGATTTCTCGCTTTCTGTCTCTATGTCTCTCTCTGTCTGGCGAGCAGTGAAAAAAAAAAAGAATATTTGAAACAAACAACATAGCAATAAAGTTGTGAACTGGCTACATGTGAATTTAGAAAGCCTGAACATGTGTATATTAAAGTATGTTCGTTTATTAACACATATTTAGTAATATATGAGCCCCTCAAGTTTTAGCTAGGCACATGACTGACTACCCATCTAGTGACAATATTTACCAGTTGACCTTGCAGCTGTATATGATGATATGATTAAGTTCTCCTCAATGGAAAAATATGGCAAAAGTGAAGTAAAAATCCTTTAAATTTTTTCTTTGCTCTCCATCTCTTTTTTGTGAGCTAAAACATAGATAATAATTCTGGTGAATGTGCTTTGTCCATGAGTATGAAGACAACTCACCAGGAGTTGAGAGGAAAAATGATGAAAGAACCTGGGCCCATTAAACAATTTTATGGGATAGAACCACTGTACCATCACTGACTGCTAATTTCTGGAATGAATGTAGAGAAAAAAATTCCCCTCTTATGTTAGGGTCTTTTTGGTATAGAAGATTGGCCTATAACTAATACAATAATCAAATATGAAACTTGAGAATGATTTATGCTCCTTCCTTTCTCATAGTCCTTACAGTTCCCTCATCTCCAAATATACAGCCAGATGTTCAGATCAATCTAACCTCACGTAATTATTTTCCCTCATCAAGCCCACAACTATTACCCCTATTTAGAATCACAGATGTCACTTTCTGATTTATAACAGATCCCTGTAACTGGTTTCCTTGCCCCCACACTCTTGCACTGTGAATACATCCAGGAGAGAGGATCTCAATTAAACCAATTCAGTGGCATAAAGTCGCTAAAATTCTCAATGAATTCACACTTTATGTGGAAAAAAAATTGCTTTCTATAGCATTCAAAATCTGTTGCCTACTAACTTTTCTAGCTTGTTTCTATCACAAGCTTCCCCTCTCATCCTTGATGAGATCAAGTCACATCAAAATACATAATAGACACTGAACATTCCTGCCTCTGGAACTATTGTCTCTATAGAACCTGCCACAATAGGAACTATGACCTTTGCTGAGTTTTTTTTTTTTTTTTTCCCCTTACCTATTGGTTTTCCTCAACATTTCCCAACTTCATTTATTACAGCTGACCACACTTGGCTATTCTTTTTTTTTTTTTGGAAGAGATTTTTGCTATAGGGCACATGTGCTCACCAGAAAGACAGAGACAAAGAGACAGAAAGTGAGAAATCACTCCCTGGGGGGATGGCCACACTGCACTCTTTCTCCTCCAGTCTCCTCTCAAGATCTTGAGCATGCATGCCCACGTGCCCAGCATGAGTTTAAATCACCGGTTCTGGGACTCGAACTGTGGTCAACTACATGGAAGTCCAGTGACAGAGCCATTACGCCAACTGCTGTTCCTATCAGCTATTCAAATTCCTAGACCCCCAAGGAATTTTCTGCCGGAGATAACAATATATTGATTCTTGGGGCCAGTAGGTGGCATGGTGGCCAAGGTGTTGGACTCCCACATGGCTCACCATGGTTTGAGTCCCAGATCTGGCAGCTTGCTTTCTCACTTTCCCTCCCTCTCTCTCTAGTGAACACATGTGTCCTATACAAAATTTAAAAATAATACTAAATAAAATGAAATAGTTGTTTTAAAAATAAGAAAATATATTGACTCTTTTTTTTTCTGGGATTTCTAAGCTGGTATGATGTGGATGTTAGGATTTCTGGCAATAATTTTTGCTGCCATGTGACAGATGGTATAAAGAGATTGTTATTTATATCCCAGTATTTTTCTCTAAGAAGGAATTCCTAAATTTTAACTAGATACATTCACCCAGAATAATGACTACCAGACACTCTTGTACAAAGTTGTGGCCACATAGTTAAAATCTGTTTTACATGTGCCCAGAAGTGAAGTGCACAACTTCCTATATAAGAGAGGGTCATGCCCCTCCCCTCCTCTCTTCCTTATGGCTAGAATGTAGACATAAAGGTGAACCAGCTTAGAGCACGGGCACCCTGTAGCAAAATCCTCTCAAAAAAAAAAAAAAAAAAGAAATTGCTAATTCCTTTTTGAGGAAGGATTCTTGAGACTTAATCACAAGTGATCTTACCCTGGGTGTGTGGTTCAACAGTGTCATTTTACCCTTGAAACTACGAAAATATGAACATGAGCATTTTCTTTAGGAATGGGCCAAAAGCTTTCATTATATTTGCAATTAAGATACAAGTACCAAAAAAAAAAAAAAAACCCCACTGAACTAGAGATAGAAAGGAACTATTATTATATTTTTAATCCTAAACTCAAAATTAAACAAGTTATTTCCTAAATTGGTCTTCTATTTGATCCTTTTCACAGTACCACTGACACTTATCATTTGAATACCCAAGCATTGAAGTAATTTGGGTTCTTAGATTATAAACACATATATACAGAAGATAATTAAGGTCATTCTAATAGAATAATCATATAACATTAAATATTAATAATATAATATTGATGATGAATAATATAAATAATGTTCCTGTAAATGACATTATATTGAGTCTTTGCTAAAAGATGGACTAATTAACTGGAAAACTGAGAAAAAGGTGCTTTCTTGTCAAGAAGGAATTTCAACATTGCTACTTGTATCATTCATTGAGCAAGAAGGGTTTTAACAGCACGAACACTGAATTAGAAAGTCAGGAAGTCTGGATTCTAGAACCAGTTTTATTTAACGAACCACGTACAAATCACTTATCTATAAAATAATAGGTAACATTTACTCCCTAATTCACAATTATTTCACAAAACCAAAATCTTTCCCAAGAAAACCTCACTGTAATCTGAGTTATTACTATTATTTAGCCTAGGCTTTAACTCAAAGGTTGAAAATGACAACTTTGACAACTTGCTTTTTATAAATCAGTTGCATACCTTAATTCTGCAGATGGATAATCTGGTTGAGATAAGGCCTGTCATCTTTCAATTTTACAAACAAAAAGCTATCAACGAGAAGTTAACAGTGAAGAAAAGGTTGGCCAAAAGTAGTATTACCAAGAAATGGCTTTCTAAGTTAAGAGAACTACTTTAAAACATTCATGATAGCACATTGAACGAAATTTGCCTCAGGCCACTAAGCATGTTTACCCTCTTGAAGCAACAAACACTGCCAGGACAGGCATCTTATTTCACTAGAAATAATGTTAAACAGGAATGTCATGTAGACTCTTCAAACAGCTGATCAAAATGGCTAAGAAAACATTATTTGTGGGCTTTTGATTTTCTATCCTTTTGTCTTTCTTTTCACTGAAAAATTTTGTTCCCTCTCCTGAACCAGATTCTGTTCCACTGCCACAGTGTAAGAAATGTTAGCATTCTATCACTAGAGAATAAATAAATGTAGAAAAGAAATTAGCATGTGATTGAACAAAGATTCAGGAAGATAATTCCAAGTGGGTACAGGAAGATTTATACACCATAAATATCTGTATATGTACAGGTACACCATTTATCATGTCTCTATATTCTGACAACTAAATGTATTATTAAATTTTCAAAAAATAAGCACCTATGTTATCTTGTATTTAACAAAGTCAGTTTTGTGCAATTTAGCTTCTGTCTCTGGAATTTCCCTTACATATGGTGGCAAAAACAAAGATAGGAACATGGTTGACAGAGAAACATAGAACATATACAAATATCACAATAAAATAATCATGTGTGCCACTGTTCAGGGAAATATTTTAGAGATAGCATACTTTCACTATTGGCCCCAAATGCCATAATCCACTTATGCTCTTTAATCGTCAACTTTTAATACAAAAATACCTTCAAGCTGATAATCAAGAACATTTACAGTGACTTACAAAACTGACAGAATATTTCAGTGCTACACAAAACAGTTCTACACATAACTTAGAGTTAAAGTTCTTTGCTGGCACTTGATTTGATAGTTGATAAACACGATAACTACTGACCTCAATAAAATATTGTTTTTAGCTTATACATACTATT